GTACGACGCTGTAGTTGCACGCTACTCCTCCTCTGCTACTGCTGCGATAGGCCGTCTCTCACTGCCCTATCTGTTCCCCGATCTGTCTGCTTTTGCCACTGTAGCTGACCTCATCACGCACCTCCGCACTAGTGATCTTCGCTATCGTGCCGCGCTTCCCCCCGATTTCCTAGCCAAGAACCCTCCCCCAATGTACCTCACACTCTATCACCTAGTCACCCGCCTCCCTGACTCCCTTCGCACTGTCAGGGACCACTTTCTCGCCCTCTCCCCTACCGACCTCACTGTCGACCTGCTCGAGAAGGAACTCCTAGCAGCTGAGAAGAGCATTGTAGCTGTAGGTGTCTCTCGTGGCGACCCTCGTGCCCCCTTCTTTGAGGGGTGCTCCCCCGTCCCCCTCCTCCCCTCCATTGCATCTGCTGCTGCTGTCAACTACCTCGGTGCTGAGGGGGTCGGGGCTGCGTCTGCTCCTAGTGGGAGGCGCAAGGGCGGCAAGGGCAAAGGGGGCAGGGGTGGCGGAGGTGGCGGCGGGGGCGGCGGTGGTGGAGGGGGTGGAGGCGGCGGGGGTGGTGGCGGTGGTGGCAGTGGTGCTGGTGGTGGGGGGGTCAGTGGCGGAGCCGGGGGTGGTGGCGGCGGCGCTGGCGGGGGTGGGGGGGGTGGTGGTGGTAGTGGTGGCGGCAGTGGAGCTGGTGGCAGGCGCTGTGGAGCGGTGCAGCGTGGGGGGATCGGAGGTGGCCAGAGGCAGCAGCAGCAGCGTCCCAGCAAGACCTCGTCGTCCCAGCAGCTTCGTGAGTGGTACTCTCAGCGTGGGGGGTCTGGGGGTGGAGGTACCTGCTCGTACGCCATCCGCACAGGTGACCGCACTGGCCAGACCTGTGGGAGGTTTCACACGGCGCAACGCTGTTTCTTTCGCCTCGACGACGCCTGGCGCGAGCAGTTCCCTGACGCCACAAGTACATGAGGCAGCCCACTAGCTCTAGGTAAGGACCACTCGGCTCTACGGACTCGTCTGAAGGTGAAGCTGAGACCGAGTGACCTGTAGCCAGAGGAGTCGCCTGTGCCGAGGACCAGGTGAAGCCGAAGCGCTGAAGGACCTGCTGCACCATGTGTGATTGAGTCAGAGTGATGGTGTGGCCTGCTTTGTCCCGGGTGATCTGCAAGCCAAGGTAGCTTCGCAGTTCACCCAGGTCTGTGCACGTGTGTGTCTTCTGCAGCTCCGACTTCACGTGGGCGAGAGCCTCAGTGTCAGTAGTGGCAAAGACCAAGTCGTCGACGTACACGAGGATGTAGAACGGCGGCAGGGAAGTGTCGGTGCGCAGAAACAGCCACGGGTCAGCAGTAGAAGGCGCGAACCCAAGAGCTGCAAGTGTAGTCCTCAGTGTGTCGTGCCACTCACGTGGCGCCTGGCGGAGACCGTAGACCGGCCGCCGGAGGCTTTACTGGGTACCAGGAGGAAACAACCCAGTGAAGCCAGGAGGGTGGCGCAGCCAGATCTCCTCGTGCAGGCTGCCCTGCAAGAAAGCTGTGCTGAAGTCAAGAGAGTGAAGCTCGTAGTCACGCCGCCCTCGTGCGGCGGCTAAGCGCGAGCTGCAGCAGCCGGCGCGCGATCGCTAGTGCGCGCGGGCTGCGACCTGCGGGCGGGCGGCGGTGGGTCGAGCGTCGGCCTAGGGGCGAGCGGGGCCTACGGGCGACGGCCTGCTGGGGCTCGCGAGAAAAAATCGGGCCGCCCTAGGCGGCTAACGAGCTACTCGTGCTAAAAACGCGAGGCCGTGCTCGGGCTGCTAGCGGGCTGCAAACGAGCAGCGTGAGAGAAGGGCGCGCGAGGGCGCACTAAGAGAGAGGCGCATGAGGGCGCTAAGACAGTAGGGCGCACGAGGGCACCTCTAGCGGAACGGTGGGCCCTTAGGTAATCGGTCCTAGGTCCCTAACCTAGGCTCTTAATACCATGTCAGAATGAAAAGTGGTTGCACTAGGTCAAATGTGGGGTACAAGTAGGAAACCTTAAGTTATCATACCCCATAGTATCTACCCCACTACAGCCTAAACAAGCTGTAGCAGATATAACATTTGACACTATATTCCGCGAAGAGAAGTTGAGGCGGTCCACCAAGAACTTCTCTTGCACAATCCCGGGCGAAGGTAAATTTGCAGAAGCTGTTGCAGAGTCTTCTGTCCCTGGTAGTGGAGAATGAGAAGTAGTGAACGGTGGTGGAGTGTCTGCAAGGCCTTGTGTTGTTGCTAAACTTTGCTAAATTGCGGTTATTAAATCCAGCACAGTAATCAGTGTATCACTTCCGTTAAGCAGCAAAATTCAGAGTATGGAATTTTTTAGTCTGACACATTCAGACCTTCGCAATTTCTAGCCTGTATTTGTCAGGCTAACAAAAAATATACCCCAAGCATCAGGGTTGACTATGCCTGATACCCTGATTCCTAAGGGTGGCCCAAAACCAATCTGAAGTCCTAGTGGTCAATGATTGAAATCTGCCAATCGGAGGAGGAAAACGATGTAGCATCATGTTTCTGTTATGTCCTCGAGATGATGTATTATCTTCCACGGGTGTCAGATACCACACGCCGAACACTTGGCGCGAGGTTGGGTCGTGCGATGTCGGACACATGGGGTGCGACAATATGTTGCAGTAGACTGACGCGGAATGCATCATGTATGTGCCAGTCATCCAGGAGAAGCAACTCTCTTGTGACAGGTGTCAACATCCTGACGATGCAAAATGAGCCCACGCATCCGGGGCGGAATTTTACTGGTTGGGGCAGCCGAAGGTTCTTCGTGTTTAAAAGGGTTAGCTGCCCCGTGGTGGAAGGGTAAATTTCGTCGTCATTTATATGCATTTCGGTTGGCGACGGTATTTGCCTTGCGAAAAAAAGTTGGTTACTTTATCGTGGGCGGTCTGAAGTTCTGTGATGAACTGCTGGGAGCGTGGTACCGGATTGTCGAGTGTCGTTGACGAGTGGACCACGGGGTCTATCTCGTAAGTAGGATGGAATTGGTCTATCCCGAGTGTACTACTGGTTTGTTGTGTCAGAATGCTATAATTGTCTAGTATGCAGTAGGGTACTCTATAATGAGTACAACTCAAATTAGGGTTTGCTAAATGTATCCTATATGCTACTAGTGCAACCCCTCTTTCTGTTTCTAACTTCCTGCTAGCGTTTCTCGACATGCTATCAGAGCAAGAACGCTCCTGGCCTGTGGGCCCACCTGCTTCCGCTGCTGTCCTGCCTGTCGCGCGCCCGGGGCGCGCGACGTTTTCTGCCTGCAGCGCGCCCGGCGCGCGAGGCGTTTTTTCTGCCCGCCACGCGCTCGGGGCGCGTGGCGGGCGCGTGACGGTTTTGTCGCCCGTCGCGGCACCCCAGGGGCCCACGTGGCGTCCCCCCTCCCGTCGCCCGTCGCTGTGCCCCGGGGGCCCGCGCACTGTCCCCTCCCGTCGCCCGTCGCGGCGTCCCAGGGGCCCGCGCGCCGCCCCCTCCCGTCGCCCGTCGCGGCGCCCCGGGGGCCCGCGCGCCGCTCCCTCGAGTCGCCCGTTGCGGCGCCCCGGGGGCCCTCGCGCCGCCCTGCCCGTCGCCTGTCGCGGCGCCCTGGGGGCCCGCGCGCCGCCCTGCCCGTCGCCCGTCGCAGCGCCCTAGGGACCCGCGCGCCGCCCCGCTTCCACTCGCACGCTGTCCCAGCTGCTGCCCGCGCATATGCCCCGCGCCGCATGCGCGCTGCCTGCGTTGGGGGTATGGGGGTGGCAGGTATGGGTGTGGCGGGTGTGGGGGCCCTTGCTCTGGCAGCCAAGCGGACCTGCTGCGCCAGTCGCCCGTGGGTCCGTTGCTCCTGCCGCTCGTCTTAGCCGCAGAGCCAGTTACTCCTGTAGTCTAGGGCCCTTGCTCGGTAGCCACCGTGCGCGCCGCTCTTGCTGCCCGTGTGTCTGCGGCTTCACCCGTCGCCTCCTATCTCCACTCCTCTCACAGTCCCTCCTCCTCCTCGCTTGCCCTCTGTGACTGCCTCTAGCTTTGCTTGTGCTTGTGAACTTCTTATGCGACTACCTGTTGTGCTGATCATACCCCACTTTGCCTATGGGGGTGTGTTAGAATGCTATAATTGTCTAGTCTGCAGTGGGGTACTCTATAGTGAGTACAACCCAAATTGGTAACTGGAATGCGGGTCAGCAACATGCCAGCGATACTGGCAGCCGCGTGGGAAGGTGATGGAGAGGGATAGTATGCTGGCCAGGATGATGACTAGAATGAAGGCATGATGGCCATATTATCATGGTGGCAAGGCCATGAAGGCATGATGACCATATTATCATGGTGGCAGGGCCATGAAGGCATGATGACCATATTATCATGGTGGCAGGGCCATCATTTTTGCAAGAGAGCAGATGCATGGAAGTTATACTGAACCACTACTTGGTGACGACTTACTGGTCACAGTGATCTGAGTCTCCGCAGTGGAGGAGCAGATGGAGCATCGGAGCCCTCGCAATTCAGTCAAATCCGCTCTCACTATGACTCCTGCACCAGCAGTGTCAACACACGCCACCTCCTCTGATTCCTGTCCCTTGTTTCTCTCCCCCCCCCCCCCCCCCCCCCCCAGCCCCCTCCTCCCATGGTTTCGAGCTATCCCAGCTCTATGCAACCCAGAAACGTCCTGTAATTGAGCTCGTGATCATGCTGAAAGTCGCCTTGCCTTTTCAAACCACAGCCTTCACCTCCGATACGAGTCTCTGACTCGCAATGTGTGCCAGGCATTCTTTGAAGCATCATCATGATCGCAATGGCTACTGCTCCACATGAGGAAACTCATGGAGTGGAGGGTTGCTGAAAAGGCTTCATATATTAAAGGGCTTCTACAATATGGTTCCACCGCATTCGAAGAAATAAATACCTACAAGTTACAACGATGACAGAAAACCTGGTGTAGTGTTCAAGTGGTTAAAAGTTTCTCTCTTACACGTGAATCATAATGGTTATCAACAATAAGGTCATCTACGTCTTTACATTGGGGATCCTAATGACCGAACGACCCACTGAAGGTGAGCTCGGAGCTGCCTTGCAGCTGGATAACTCAAGTCCCTTGGCACCCCAACTCTATCCCTCAGATACGCAAGAGCCATCACCAACCGTTCTTCCCCTGCTGCCCTCACATCCTCACTTCTGCTCCCACCACTTATCATCTGAAGTGACTGGGACACGGCAGGGAATGGGCCTGCTGCTTCTGTGCCGACCAGCAGTGCATGCGCCACGTGGCGCAACGCCTCGCTGACAGCTGGCGCAAGGCATTCCGCTGTGATGGCCTGCTGCTGTGGCTCAGCTTGGTCCGCATGAGTCTGGCTGCTCATAGAAGCGGCACCAGCACCCATGGCACCAGCAGCATCCCCAGTAGTCGTAGCGGCTGAAACATGTGCAGAATCCCCCAAAGAACGCAGGCAAAAGGCCACTAGCCTGTCATGATTCCCCACAATCGCCTGCACCACCTCTCTCTGCGCCCTCCGCCCCTCCCCCCCCGTCCCATCCTCCCTCCCCCACGCCGTCTCCTCCTCCCCCAGTGGCAGATCCCATGCACCCGTCCCATCCCATCCATCAATAAAAGCCCGGCGCGCCACAGCCGTTGGATTGGTGCTGGCGATCACCGGCCCAATTTGCGGGACAAGGGAGTGGGTGATGGAGAAATCGTCAGACTTGAGAGGGAGGTAGGCGGGTCGAGCATCCATGGCGTCGTACCAGCGGGAGAGCGCCGGCCAGCGAGGGTTGTTCCGCACTGTGAGGCCTTTCCAGTACGGTGCACTGGCAGCGAATCGCTCCAGGAGAGGCGCGTGGGTCACGTCAACAAGGGAGAACTGCTGGGAGGCGGGGGTGGGTGTGGAACGGAAGGGAGGGATGTTGTGGTGAACGTGCAGCAGGCACGTGGGTCACGTCGACAAGGGAGAGGAGAACCACATGTGAGGTGGGGTAGGTGTGGATGGGTGGTAGAATTGGGAGCACATGAGAAGTAGGGACGCAAGCATGGAGAGATCATTCCTGGCAGAAATGCGGCAGAGACTAGTTTGCACTTGAAGCATACGAGGAGGTCTAAAAGATAAAAGGCAAACGAGCCAGGAGACATGAGTTGGCGAGACAGATAGCAGTATGTGTGGCACACTGACAGATAGAAGTATATATGCTGCCGTACATGGGAATATATAAATATAGTCTCACTTGCTAAGTAGTTTGAAAGCACAATGGATGGTATTTGGTATGAAAGCATGGTAGGTCAATACCGCACCATTCTGCTCAAGTCTGGCATAATTTGATGGCCTTACTGTGAGATTGAATGTGATCAATGTAAGAGTGACTGTGATGAACATGAGAGTGACTTTCATAATAGCGAGATTGACTGTAATGAGTGAAACCGACAGACAAACCTCTTTCCCAAGGAAGTAAGGCCCTCCGCTCTTCACCAAAGCCTCTTCCATGGCATCCATTGCCGCCTCAAACTCCCTCCGCCCCTCCCCCTCCTCCTCATCGCCTGCACCCTCGCCACTGCTACTGCTGCCACTACTGCTCACACTGCTGCTACCCCCACTGCTGCTGCTTCCGGCCCCACTACCACCGGCAAGCCAGCGCATGGCATCCTTTCCCTTGGTCCACTTGAGCCACGCCCCAGTCAACCCCCTCTCCAGACCCATCAGCTGCTCTGCTGCCTCTGCTGCGTGCGCATCAGAGGGAGGGGGGAGGAGCGGCGAGTGACTTGGGAAGGCGGCTTCGATCTCCTTCATTATAGTCACGGACTCTGTGATCACTCGCCCGTCTAGCTGGGTGGTGGGGGGCAATAGAGGGGGACAGGAGGTGTCGGGAGCTGGTATTGGTGTGATGTGTTGCGTTATAATCACGTCACAAAGACTGCTTGTTCCGTGATTCAAAGGTTACATCGGTGGATAAACATAAACATGAGACATAAAAAAAAAAAAAAAAAAAAAAGGTGGGTGAGTAGGCGGGGCAGCAATGCTATGTGAGCATATGTGCAGTGTTGAGAGGCTTGAGAGAGTTGAGAGGTTTGAGAGGGGTAGCCAACCGCACAGTCGCCTGAAAGCTGAAGAATGGAAACAGCACGTTCACAAACAACCAGATAGCCGACAGGCTGCACCAACAAACACACACACCACCAAGCCACCGCGCTCACCTGGACAGCTGGCAGCATGCCATTGGGCACGAGCTCCAAGAACCAATCAGGCTTTGGCCCGTAGCACTTGAGGTTTATTTTCTCAACCCTGAAGGTGTTGGAGGGTTGGGAGCGGGCAGGGCGAATGGAAGGGGGGAGACAAGGGGAGAGGGGAGTAGGGCGAGGCTGAGAGATTTCGCCTGTAGGACTCGAGGTACATTCTCTCCATGCTAACGGCATTCGAGGGGCATGATGTTGAGGGCGCGGTGCTTTTGAGTCAATGTTTGGAAACTGTTCGAACTTGATATGGTTACTGACCTCGTAAATGTCGCAAAAGCCTTCGCAGATTACCAAATTAATGTTCGAAGCATGCTTACGAACGTGGTCATTTCTGCTCAGTTCAGCTGCCGCACGAACTTGGCGAAGCGTGACGACATCTACACTAAACATTTCGAGGACGACGCCAGAGCCACGTAGGCTACATCGGGTAACCTACATGGTATATTCGCGGCTCGGAGAGGGTCGAATTTTGTTTTTCGAGCCTCGATGGTCACATTTTGACTTACCAGATATCGGACCCGCGACTCGAACCTCATGAAATCAAAATTTCTACTACACAATCGAACTTATGAAAGGGGTAAGTCGATTGAAAAAAGCAAACGTTGGGATTTGCGTCAAATGCACCGCGCCCTGAGGGGGACGATAGGAGAGAGGAAAACTACAGAGGAGAGGGGAGAGAGGCAGAGGCGAAGGGAGAGATGCAGAGGAGAATCAAAGTAGGGAGGATTGGAGCAGGGAGCAGGGAGAGTGAACCCCGCCACAAGAAGGCGGGGAGAGGGAGGGAGATGAAAGAATAGGGGTGCAAGTGATGACGAGCAGAACCCACACTCTCACTCAGTCGCTTTGCCTTTGCTTGTCCCCTCTCACCCAAACGCAATCCGCTCTCACTTTGCAATACACTCTTTTCACCTGCACATAATCCGTTCTCACCTTCACGAAATCCGTTCTCAACTTACGAAATCCGTTCTCACCTTCACGGAATCCGTTCTCACCTTGACGAAATCCGTTCTCAACTTACGAAATCCGTTCTCACCTTCACGGAATCCGTTCTCACCTTCACGAAATCCGTTCTCAACTTACGAAATCCGTTCTCACCTTCACGGAATCCGTTCTCACCTTCACGAAATCCGTTCTCACCGGTACGAAATTCGTTCTCACCGGTACGGAATCCGTTCACACCTTGACGGAATCCGTTCTCACCTTGACGGAATCCGTTCTCACCTTGACGGAATCCGTTCTCACCTTGACGGGATCCGTTCTCACCTTGACGGAATCCGTTCTCACCTTCACGGAATCCGTTCTCACCGGTACGGAATGCGCTTCTCCTCGAGCTGCAGCCACACGCGCTGGCAGAAGGGGCACCACGCGGCGTCGTCGCGATACAGCACCACGCGCACCTCCTCGCCTTCGCCTTCGTTCTGCCCGAACCGCCGCGTAGAAGCCTTTGCCACGTTCTCCCACACTCTCCCGCCTTCACCGTCGATTCCTTCTCCTTCTGATCCTCCGTTCCCCGCCGTCTCTGCTTTTCCCGTCAGAGTTGCGCTCTCCGTCTGCTCCAGCATTCGACGGAGTTCGTCAAGAGACGGAATCCTCGCCGGAGCTGACGGTTCGGTAGGGGATGCGGCGCATGGTGCGGAGCGTTGCAAATTGAGAGCGCGCTTGTGGCGGAAGTCGCGCCGCTTGCTGCGGTGGGTGCATGTGCTGAGGTCGGCGATGTGCGGCGAAGAGTTTTGCGAAAAATAAAGGGCCGTAGACCGCGTACGACTATTTCGCACGCGCGTTGCGGAATTGAGAGTCACCGGATTGGAGCGAGAAGTGGACGGTCGCGGAACTAGTACAGTCGCGTGCGTACTAATGGTGAGCGCCATTGACCTTCGCAAAGACAAATGCGGTCAAATTTTCAGACTTCTCGAACAGCTCGCACAGCAAGTATTTCTCGATGTGTCCGTTTCGTACCCTTCTGAAGATGCCAGCGGAATCAGGTCGACGGACCCGAGTTGCCAGGGTCGACGAGGGGGGTCGACGGACAGGGGTCTGACGAGGCGGGCGAGTGACGCGCGTGCGGGCCCGCCAGCCTGGCCCTGGGCTGGGCCGGGCGCACGACCGCCGCCCCGCAACCCCCCCCCCCCCGAGAGTGAACAGCGACCCACGTTACCGGGTGGGGGCGGCGAGCTGGCGAGACCTCGGGCGAGGGAAAGTAACCCTGCCGCGAAGGCAGCCCACCCCTCCCTCGTGCCCGCGAGGCCCTAGTAACCCATCGCGGCCTGCCCGTACGGGCAGGCGAGGTCCACGCGAAAATCGGGGGCTCCCCTCGGGTCGCTCGACTATTTCGCGACCCGTTGCGGTGACGCCACGTGCTCGCCCGTCATTTCGCATCGCGTGCATGAGACATTTCGTACCCCCCGAAACTCGAGCGAAAAGTGGGTCGTTCGCCACGGGGCGCACGGCTTTCGCGACCCTCTGCGAAATCGACACGTGGTGCCGAAACGTCGCACCGCGCCCACGCGAAGTTGCGTCCCCTGGCCGACCGAGGCCGGGGGACGTGACGTCGACCTGTTGGCTCGGCGGCGAGGGTGCACTTGTGCCACGCAACTTGTGCACGAGCCCTGCCGAGCCAGGCATCACGGCCCCCTGGGCGACGCTCAACCGGGCCTGCGTGGCTCCGCCTGGCTTTTCTTCGTTGGAGGTGGGCTGGCCCCTCATTTTCGCGTTCTCGTTTCTCTTTCATTTTTCCTCCCACCTCGGCGCCTTCCATACTCCCACCGTTTCTTCCCTTAGCCTGTAGCATAGCATCCTCGCTCTCCCGCCATGGCAGCCGGCCAGGAAGCCGCCGAAGCGGCGCCGACCTCGCTAGATTTCCCCCTGCATCTAGACATCGGTAGAGGACACACGGCCAAGTTCGAAGAGCACGACTACGCCGTTCTGACAAACCCTATGCTAGAGTTTAACGCCCGTTGCTTGGGACTCGGTCTCAAGTGAGTGTCTTATGGAGATGTCGTCGTCGACGGGCCTATTCCATGCTGGTCGGCCATGGCGGGGTTTCAATGCGTCAAGTAGTATATGTCGACGGGCTTAGAGTTCAGGCACATCACATCGGTGATGCCGACGTAATGCGTTAGGTCGTCGACGACGCTGAGTTGTGCCGAAGTCGTTCGGCTCCCGTCATTCCACCGTCGTGCCGCGCACCTATACCTCTCTAATTTGTTGTAATCATGCATGCGTGCAGGCACGCATGGATCCGCTCAACGGATGCAGGCGATCGATTGTGGTCGATAGGAGCCGGCCGGCTTCGGGCGGCGATGGGTCAGGACGACCACACATGCTTTGCGACGATTTTCGACGCCGACGTGGCGGTTATCCCACTGATATCGAGGTGAGCAGGTTCGAGGTCCTGCTGTGTGCTGCAACCTGTGTCGGTGATTTGTTCTGAGCGCCATCGACGTGCCTTGTCTGTGCAGCATCGCACCGCTTCCGGGAGCACATTGCAGCGTCGTTCTCATCCTGTGCCCCGGCGATTTGTTCAATGCCTCGGGGCAGGAGGTCAGGACCTCGATCCGGCACGCCGACCCGCAGACAGTGAAGGAGTGGCACCGCGACGAGGCGATCCGCGTGCTGAAGTGAGCTCGATAGTTTAGTCGACATCGCATACATTGTCGACACGGCGCGTGCACCGTGCTAACCGACCGTCCTTGCCGTGCTTTTGCAGTTTTTTCCGGACCGCTGTTCTGGCTGAGCTGCGGCGCGAGGGTAGGAAATGGGAGTGGGCGAAGCTGTCCGAAGACGAGGTGCAGGAGAGGCTCGCCGACTGCGACGAACCCCTTCGAGATGTGAGTTCCGGACGATTCGCCGTCATATGGTGTCACATCTACGCCGCCCTCATCCTTGCTCTCTGCACTGTTGTATGCAGAAAATTCCCGATACCGTCCGGGACTCGGACGCGGGCTCCGGCCTGCTAGCAATGAGCGCGTTGATCTGGGTTGTGAGGCTGTTCCAGCGCCTGACCGGCGACCTCCGTCGCATTGCCACCAGCATGGACAAGCCCACCGTCTCGGGGTTGAAGGCGCTGCGGAACGAGATGGTAGCCCTCATGAAGAAGCAAGTCCCGCTCATACGGTCGGGGAAAACCGTTGTTGCTGCCGACGCATGTGACGACGACGGCGAGGAAGTCCATTCTGCATCCGTAGCAGTAGGGGTCGCCCCGAACGTCGCTGATGCGCGTGGCAAGTCGGGAGTCGGCGTCGACGAGGCCGATGCGGCCGCAGGAAAGGGGGTGACCGGGACTGAGGTTGTTCACGGGGATGATGATGGGGTCCAGGATCGCGAGGAGGAACGTGAGGGTGAGGGGGGCTCGGAGGAGTCGTCGGGGTCGAGGTCGGGGTCGGGATCGGGGTCGGGCTCGGAGTCGGAGTCGGAGGAGGAGCAGGAGCAGGAGACGCAGGAGCACGAGAGGCAGCACCAGGAGGAGCAGTTGGTAGAGGTGGAGGACGTGGAAATGGCGGAGGGGTACGTTGTCGGAGGAGCGGAGGAAACGGGTGGGAGATCGGCGGATGTCGAGAACGACGAAGGGGAGGGGAAGGGTGCGACAGCGAATATCGGCGAGGTCGGCGTGGAGGCGGCTCACGGAGGTGGTGGCATGGTCGAGGTCGGTGAAGGGGATAACGCCGCGGTCCCGGAGCAGAGGGGCGTGGATGTGCATACCGATGCCACCGCGGAGAAGGCCGGCGGGGAGCGGTCTAGGAGGAAGAAGGCGGCGAGCGGTCATCCCGGTTCCACCGCGGCTGGGCGGCAGGCGCGGCTGGACGTCGTCGATCAGCTGAGGGCGGAGAACAGGCGATTGCGTGCAGACAATGCACTCCTTGAACGGCGGCTCGGTGAGCAGACGGGGCGGGTCGACAGCTTGGCGGCGGCATTAGCTGGGCTCCTCGAGAAGGTGAAGGGTTTGACCGCCCAGGTCGCCGACACCGACCGGAAATCGGAGGAGCGCCTCAAAGAGGCCACGTCGACCGTGGCGACCACAATCACCGAGGGCCTCACCGACAACATGGACAGCGCCATTCAATCGGCCAAGTCCTTCGCCGAGCTAGCGAGGCAGACGCTGCTGGATCTTGACGACCCCAAGGGACGAGCGGCGGTCGCACGCGCGACCGCGGTGAAGACAGTGACCGAGCACGTGACGGCGGAGGTGGGCGAGGCGAGGAAGGGGTTGGAGGAGTCGTTCATCAAATACATCGGCGCCGCGCAGACCAACATTGCCGCCGCCGTCGCGCCCCGCCTAGTCCAGCCGCCGCCGCCTACCGGCCCAGCGCAGGCCTTGCCGGAAGATTTCCTGAAGTCTTTCAAGGAGGACGTGCTGAAGGCGGTGACGGAGACCACGCAGCAGTCCTTCCTCGCCTCCGGACTGAAGATAATGGCCGAGGTCGTCGGCACGGTGGCGTATGCTCGGCGTGGGTCGTCGCCGTCGGCAAACGACGCCGGCCAAGCGCAACCTACGGAGGGCTTGAAGCTGGGTCACAAGAGGCGGGGAGGCGGCGGGGGGGGCGACGGGGACAATTCGGCGAACACGAAGCGGAGCAAGGGAGGCGGGGGGTCTGGCGGCGGGGGGGGGGGGGACGGAGACGATTCGGCGGGCGCGAGGCGGACCAAGGGAGCGGCTGGTTCTCGCGTCGCCGGCGATGGGAGCATGGGAGCCGGCGACGGCAGTTCGTTGAAGCAGTCGGGGAAGAGCGTGGTCGACATCCTCAGGAAGCACTGGGCTCAGGTTGGAGCGGCCAGCACGGGCCATGGTGGTGGGGGTCCCGCCGACGAGCATGCCACTGATGACGCACTGCCAATGGCTCCGCCTTCGGTCGGCGTTAAGCCACCACGACAGGGTAGCGGTGTGAAAGGCCTGCGCGACAAGGGGAAGGCCGCCGCCAAAACGGCCCCAGGCGGGTCCGCGAAAGCTGGCCAGGGCCCGAAGACAGGGGTTGCGGAGGCGTCAGCGGTTCCTCACCAGTCTCCCGCGGGTGCACGCCATCCGACCGGACCGTCTGCCGGGCGACCTACCGACGTCCCGCGCCATGCCGACGTACCGTCTGCCGACAAGGTTGGCCGCGCGGGAAAAGGGGCGGCAGTTGCGGACGCGCTCAAGGAGCAGCTCAGGCTCCTAGCCGGCCACAGGGCTGTTCAACAAGCCCCCCCTGCTGTCGACGTCCCATCGGCCAGTGGGCCACGTGTAGTGCCGGTCGTCGCCGCCCGTACTCCTGCAGACCCAAAGTCCGCGTTGTTGCGCGCCCAGCTGGGCGCACTAGCGTCGACTGAGAGGACTCAGTAGGCTTCTGGCTCTGGCTCTAAGCCGTCGTCGGCGAATGTCGCACCACCCACCCATGTGGCAGCTGATGTGGAGAAGGCGGCGGAGAAGGGCGTTCGTGCCGCGCTTGCCACCGGCGGCGGCGCCGTTGAGGAGGTCCCCGCAGACGCTGATATCGCTGCCATACAGGCCCATCTGGATGCAGCCAATCCCCGAACCCTGGCCATCTCCGACACTAAACATGTGGAGCCTTCGGCGGGACTCGTCGGCATCGCGGCAGAGCCTAGTGCGACCGGTGATGCGGTCGGTGAAGGAAAGTCGAAACGGAAGGGGAAGGCGGGCTCACAGAGGAAGACGCGGGAGAAGTCGGAGGTGAAGGCGGCGGATAAACAGAAGGGGATGGCGGCGGAGACGGCGGCGGACAAAGATCGAGGCGGCATTGGGGAGGTTGAAGGGAAAGGGGAGAATCAGGAGAAGTCGCCCGGCGAGGGTACGTCGACGGGGAGGAAGGGGAAGGACAAGTCGGTCGGAGAAGGTGCGTCGACCGGGAGAAAGGGGAAGGAGAAGGCGGTCGGCGAGGGTTCCTCGAAGGGGAGAAAGGGAAAGAGGAAGGCGGAGGAGGAGGATGAGGATGTCGAGGAGGTGGAGGAGGTCGAGCAGGAGGAAGAGGAGGAGGAGGAGGAGGAGGAGGGGAAGGGCAAGGAGAGGAGGGGTCATGGCATCCGACACGATACCTCGGGCGACAAGCAAGGGTGGGTCGGCGAGATTAAGGTGCACGGCATCAATCGATACATTGGCAAGTCGCGGGACAAGATGGAGCTCGCGTACGTTCACTCCATCGCGTACGTCGTCTACGACGGTTTCGTGAGCAAGGTGCTCATGACCGAGCTCACCGGCTTGGACAGCGCCGAATTGGAGAGGTGGAAGGAGGTGTGGGAGGAGGTCAGGATCTTGCCGACAGGGATGTGGACGGTGATGTGGGCCCGGGGTACGCTCCTTCCAAAGACACGGTAAGTCGGTAATCCTCCGATTCAAAGTCGATGTCGTTGTCGTTGGCACTAATGTTCGCCCTGTTTGTGGTGGCGTGACAGGCTGACAGAGATCCTCGACGCGTATCGCCATTACAAGTCCACAGGCGATTGTCTCCACGCCGCGCTCCTGCCAGCGATATGGTACCCAGTCGATGCTAGCACCGAGGAAGGCCGGGAGAAGTCGGCGTCCATGATGTCGGCGATGATAGGCCGCGTGTCAATGTGCGCTGCATATGGGAAGACCGCTGCGGCAGCGGCGAAGAAGGAGGGAGACAAGGAGGAGAAGACGGATATGGCGGCGTAGGCGTTAGCAGCATCCGCATGCGCTGTGTGGTGCTTCGTCGAGAACGGCGATGCCCAGCTGGCGGATGCTGTGGAAGAAGGGAAGTTGGCGGCGATCATCGGCGGAGCGAGCCAGGCGACCGCCGATGTATTCGGAAAAGTCATGGAGGCGGTGCTGAAAGCCGAGATGAACAGGGACCGCCCCCTGGGAGAGGTTGCCTACAACGTCGCGCCAGCACTCCAGAGGACCGCCCTTGATAGGGTCTATCCGGGGGGGAATGCTGGAGTAGATGCCGACGTTATCGCTAGAGCGACGGTTGAGACGATGGCGTTTTGGGGAATGTGCCCCGTCGCCGGGCCGAAACTAAGAGCGAGGGACATCGCGGTGCCGATTGACGCGCAGATGAAGGCCGATCTTGACAACAGGGGGAGGAAGGGTCTGAGGGGCAAGAAGGGGACGAAGACCAAGGGCGGCACGGAGAAGGGCAAGATGTCGAAGAAGGACAGCACGACGGCCTAGTCGACGGCCTGCTAAGATTGAGTGCTGCGTGGACTCGATGATGAAATGGTCGATATCGTTTTCCTTGTTTTGGCTGTCGGATCCCTTTGATGCTCTTTGTTTGTGTTTTTTTTTGTGCGTGCCTGTCTACTTTACGTAGGATTAGTAATGAACACATTAGCTAGTAATGATTGTGTACTTCAGTTTGAACGACACGTGAATGCCCCGCTAGGCCAAGAACAACAGGATCATTGTGAGAAACAAAAAGTCGACATCAGTATCAGTATGAAACATAGGCATGCTGCATCAACATCTACAACATGCAACAGGCCACAGTAGCAGGAGGCCTGGGAACATTCAAGCGGTTTTCTTGCGCTTGGTCGACTTATTGGTCGGAGGCAGCTGCCCGGCGTCGTTTTCTCGGGCCAGATCGGCCAACGTCTTCTTCATCTGCTCAACCCAGGTGTCCGGGAACAGGTCGGCGACCCACGTTTCGGGCTTTAACCCGCGCGCCACGAACGCACAGGCGACACGAAGCTTGGAAAATTCCGTCTTGCCGAGCCCTTTGACGCCCTTATCCTGCCCGGCATAGGTCGCTACGGCGTCCGCGTTGAGCACCGTGAGGGCATCCGCGAAGGTCCCAATGCTAGGCGCCGCTATCTTGTTAAGCGCGTCGACGGTGGCTTCCGTGTCGGCTTCGCCGTCGCTCCTGCGAAGCTGGCGCACCGCATCGATGACCTTCATCATGCGGCGCACCCTCTTCCCGTGTGCTCCCTGCGAGGCTCCGTCGAGGAGGGTGTGGCGGTCGACGAATCCCGGCTCCCTGAACCTGTCGCACAGACGACGGGTGTCGGCGCTGGTGCACGAGGTCCAGAGGCGCCACGCGTCCTTGACGGTCGTTGCAGTCCGCCAAGGCTGCACTACGTTCAGCTTGTAGCTAGCCTCCTCGACCGTCTGTGGGGGTTTATTGGGTTTGTTGGCTCCTCCACCCCTGCTTGCCGACTCCGCGGAGCCACCGTCGCTCGGCGACTGGTCGTTAGCAGCTGGCGGCGCCTCCGGCATCCTTCGAGCTTCTGAAACGCGGAGAGCCTCGGTGAGGCATGTTATCTCGGCCGCGAGCGACGCGATGGTTGCGTCGCGATTCTCGATCTTCTCCTCGAGGTCGAGCTTCTGGACCGTTGACCGCTCCCTCTCGAGCTTAAGCGTCTCCGTAAGGGAGACGACCGCGAACTGGGCGTCATGGCGGACCGATATCTCCTGCAATGGTAGGCGAATAACGGTGCAGATGAGGGGTTGTAGCGGTCATAGATAACATCGCGACGTCGGCATAAAAGATGACCTACCTTTGGCTGGATGAGGGTTGGATCTTGCCGCTTTTTTATGGTGTCGGTGTCGGTCTTCTCGACCCTCTTCGCCCAGTGCTGGAAGAGGGGAATCCGGCAGAGCTTGGAATACTGGATGTACGGGTGCCAAGGGGTGCGGACGAGTTTCACCGCGAGGTCCTCGGCGACAATGCGGCGGAACATCAGAAGGGTGCGCCAGAAATGCACGGCCGCAACGTCGGCGTTGGACCCCTTCTTCGCGAGTTCTTCTGCCTGCAGTTAGACATCAGACGTGGGTTATTTCCGTGGTGGATAGGACAGTACCATGCAAGCTTGGTCAGCACCGATAAACAAACCTTGTTGAGGAGGTCGTCGACGCCGGGGAAGATGTGCTCGGCGATGAGAGCGAGGAGTTCGTCTCCCGGTTCCACCCTACTGCGACCCAAGAAGTAGTCCTGCGTGAATCCCAAATAGTCGGCCTTCTTCATCACCACGCCGACGGGAATGGATGTGATGTAGGCTCGAGTCATCTTGTCGAGAGCCCAGTGACCCAGCTCGGCTATCTCGGCGCGAGGCGTACCTTGGATGGCCAACTCCTGCGCCCCGCCCGCCCGAGCGGCATGGACGTTCCGCTTGCAGAACACCCCGTTCGTCTTCCACATCTGCCTCGTCCATCGCTGGTGGCTGGGAGCTGAGAGTTCGCCCTGCTCGGGGTCGTTGCGGGCGAAGAACAGGTGCTTCTTGTACCAGAGCTCGCGTGTGCTGGTGTCGACCGGCGGAATGAGGTCGACGCCGTGAAACTGGCCGATCTGGTCGAGGACGAAGTGTAACCACAGCCCGGTCTCGCCGACGGCGCACAACTCCGCTTCTAGGTGCCGCGCCGCGTAGCTCTGTTGAAGACGCGCATCCTTCGACGTCTTCGAGTTCCGCGCGGCGACCACCATGACGACCGGCTGGTTATCCGGGTTCACCGACGAGGTGCTCGCCAGTCGGTACAGGAAGATGTCGGGGAGCGTTATCTCGCGTATGCTTGCACCGCGCATGAGGCTGTGGTGGGAGAGCAGCGTGAGCACCTTGATGAGAAGAAACCTCCACAGCGTCTGCGTAGGTGTGGTGAAATGCGGGCTCCATGCCGACGCCGCCCAAGCCGGCAGCACCCTCGTCATTATCTGGCGGAACTGTTCGGCGGTGTATGTGTCGCCGATGGTGCCGCGTCGACGGTCGGCGCATTTACTGTTGACATAACAATATATGGATATGAATATTAGGGCGAGGAACACAAATCGATGGCGACATAACACGGCGATGCATGCCAACTTACTCGAGGTCCCTCTGATTTTTCGTGCGGACCATGACCCGCACCTCCGACCGGACCACCGAGATTTCCCGCATGATGCCCAACTCCTTCTCCTTGTAGAGCGTCGCCTCCACCCTCGCCGCCATCTGGCAGGCCTTGATGCGGCCGAGGATCATGTGCACCGTGTAGGCTCGCACTGGCTCGTTCGTGTCGGCGTCGATCTTGTACTCCCGCCTCATGAACTTGATGTAGGCGCGCAGTCGCGTACTAGTGACCCGGGGGCCGTGCAGCCATGTGTGCTTCCGCTTGACCACCTTCTCGTTGTCCCAATCCTTGCTCTTGTTGTTGCGTGTCCAGTGCCCTATCTCGTCGACATGCCTCATTTGTTCTGCTGTCGGCAGTTTGTCGCCAATTTTTTTAAGCATCTTCGCCGTCCACCTTTTGTAGTCGTATATCCATGAGGTGTAGGACTTGAGCGTGCTCTTGGCCTCTATGGTTTTCAGGTGGCGCATTGCCTCCATCACGAGCACATCGACGCACGCGTACACCATATCTTCCTCTACGGAGTCGGCCGCCTTCCACATTTCTCGAGGGACCGACGTGTGCAGCAGATCCTCAAGCTCGTTCTCGTCCAACAGTTCCTCTATGAACGCACGTTCCCCCCTGAGTTTTTCTTCCAACGTGCGCGGACCTGCACCACGTCGGGGCCGCGGGTCGTCTTCGTCGTCCTCGTCGCTCGCCGATGAATAATCGTCCTCATCCTGGTCGCCCGATCCGTCCGGCACAGACGACGGCCCGGCCTCCCCTGCATCCGTCGGCGTCGACGTTTTGCGTGGTTTCGTGAACTCCCCTATTGGCGCGGGCGGAACGTCCTTGGTGAACTCTCCCTGCGGGATTTGGGCCAGGGCGTCGAGATCGTAAAGCAGCGGCAAAGTCGACGAGGGGTTACTGGTCGGTGTACGGTCTACCCGGCGGACGTCCTCACCCTGGCTAGCGGGGTTCGGAACGTCCGTCATGTCGACATCGGCGGGGGGTGGGTTGGTTTGCGGCGGTGTCAAACGAGGCTGTCCTCTGGCCATGATACGGCGACCTAGGGCGATGGGAAGTCGGCGTGGTGAGGTCGATAAACTACTAAATGCGTATTCTATGTCGGCGGTATCTGGCAGGTCGGGACAGCAGACAATCCTACGAGAGGTCGGCGACCACGTTTGCCTACTATCACGACGCCGACGTTACGCCTCCAGAGAAAATCTAAATGCCGGCCGTCAAGTCAGTGGTAAAAAAAAAGAAGCTAAGTGCCAGCTTACGGACGTATACGCACACACAATGGCAGGCGGAATGAGCGACCATTTCGGGGACCACGGATGGGTATGGTCGTGAGCGACTCCGCACCACTTGGCGCTCCACGCAAACCCCAGTGCACGACGCCGCCATGCATGTACGCTCGTGCGGCGGCGCCGTGTCATGCGTGCCACCAGGCGTGCATGGCTGCTTGCTTGCAGCGCTTCGCTCATCATGCTCTTTTCGTGGCTGCTACACGCTGGCTCTTTCGTGCGGCAACGTGGCGTGGTCCCAAATTAGGTGCACCTCGGTAGGTCGAGGTCGGGAGACACTGCCGTGTGGCACCACGATGATGCTCTTCTGGTCGACGCCGACATTCCCGCATCATCAGTGTCCACTGCACGTAGCCATAGATAGTGGACGGCCGGATTTCTCCTTGCGCATGTGAGCAACCGTTGGATGAATGCCGTGTGGTATGCACCGACCTTGCCACGTTCATGCGCGAGATTCTCCCAAGCGAAGCACCCCGACCTTCCGTTGGCCCGTCGTGTCCAACCTGGCAGACCTCGGTGGCCCCGCCATCCAGGGGACTATCTCGGGCGTCCCTTTGTGGCCGCGTGGCG